AACAGGAAGGGTCGAGAGACATTGCCAGGTCATGAGCACACGCTAGATATATGATAAGAAAGAGATGAAGCATCAAGTAAGAAGGAATACGGATGGTTAGCTCTTCGATTCGTGGCGGATAATCCGGGTATTAGGGCTATACATTGTCATATGATGTGGCATGGAGAAGCGGGAATGGTGATGCAATTTGTAGATCGACTTGACGAAGTGAAGAAATGGAAGATTCCTGAAGCAAACCAAAAATTATGCGAGGTAGATATTGGGGAGTTGGAAAAGGGCGCAGTACCTAAAGATGAAATTTGGTTTGGGTTCGAAGATGAAGATTGAGTGGATGGAGGTTGAGGCTTAAGAGTTATTCAATGTGCTAGGCTTGACATGAGGATACTGGTGAAGTCCCTACATATACCCACCTGCATTCCCGATGTTATCAGACTTTACAGAAGGAACTTGCGATTTTTCTTCCTAGATTTAGGTGGAAAGAAACTCCGCATGATACGTCTAGGATATATACAGACGGCGACTATATCACCTCTTCACCATCTTGTCCTGAATATCAAAAATTTACGATATATATCGCACAGGAGATACAAGAAAAACGATAAAAAATACAACAACCACTAGGATCTACCCTACGTTCCCAAAATTAAAGCCATTCCTCGAAAATCTTCTTCACAAGATACCGTGATCTCACATTTACACAACACCACAGCCCCCAACCACGAGCCACGAGGCACACTATGGATCTCGATTCGAGAATCCAGATTTGAAACAGGAATGGTAATAAATATACATGTGGAGATGGTTTGGATATAAAGATGGTTGTATATAATTAGATATAGAAATGGAAATAAGAAATACAAATGAAAATCCATCACCACACTCAGCATTCAGCAAACACTTATAACTTGCTCTTCTATTCGATTTTATATCCTGATTTTGCCTGGAATGTATGAATTGATAGGTATAATATAATTCTTATCTACGGGTATAGATAAATGATAATATAAATAAGCCCATATAACTCTTTAACGATACCACTCCCCTCAACAATACCATCCACCCATCCTCTTTGATATCTCAACACCCTCCCCCCCCGGTATCTCATTTCATCCCATCCCATATCATCCCATCCTTTGTTTTAATATATTTATATACCTACCTATCTATCTATGTATATATATATATGTGGTCTGATGTTTATAAAGAATATAGATTACAGTTATAGTCATATTCATAGTCATAGTCGGTCAAAAGTATTACCATATATACATACCCATAGTTATATCTATTACCTATCCATCCAATATGTGTCAATCTAATTTAATGTAATCTATTCTACTCTACTCTCTTCTTACAGTATGAAAACCCACATCTATACTACAATATTCAATATTGTAGCATTATACCAGCTTCTCATCGTAACCATTAGATCCCAACATCTTTCTATATCTCGCCTTGATTCATTTTGTTCATCCCATATGACATTTCTCCCCACCACACATTTCAAACCACACCCCTCCCCATATCCTCACCACCATCTCCATCACCAGCCCCACCTCCACCCTACCTTCCCTAAACCTCCGAATCCCTCCCCGTCACACCCCCAACAGCATGCACCTCCTCATCCGGAAACCTAATCGTCCTCCCCTCTACCACCCCATCAACCATACCAATAGGACTCCCATCCGCAACCTCCGTTCCACTACCCACTCCAGTCGCCGCAGCCCCCGAACGAATAACACTCCCACCAATCCTATAAATAGGTCTTGAGCTCGTTCCCGAACTCAAAGCTGGTCCGGAACTTCCACTTCCTACTACACTTCCATTTGCGGTTCCACTTCCACTCCCATCTGCACCAGCATTTCCTCTTCTCCTCTCTCTTAGCACTCCCGCATTTGAACTATAAACCCTAGCTCCAATGGCCAAAGTGGTTTGACTATTTGTCTGGCTTGTGAATGCTCTACTGAGTGTCCTTGGTAGGAAGAAGCCTAGTTTGCCTAATGGTATTGAAAGTCCATGGACTACAATACTACAAATTGTCAAGAACCAAACGACAACTGTGATAACTTCTGCTAGATGTTCTGCATCTTCGCGTTGAACACCATCTACTGTGATAGTTTCAAGGAATTCTAGTGAGATGTAAAGATAGAAGATAGCGCTAACTCCGATTGGTCCAAAGAACCCGACGAAAATAGCTTGCCGTTTTTCCTCAATTTGATGTATAAATTTATGCAATGCAAAGACAATTGGTAGACGTCTATTTGTGTGGAGTCAGAATAAGTTTTGACAAATAACATACTCCTCCAGTAATATTCAAACCAGGGAATATAGTGAAACAGCTTACCTGAAAAGTAATATCAAAATGCCCAGAAATATCAATCGATAAATTGGAATAACATTATTAGTAGCAAATAAAGTCCAAGGACAAATAGCCCCAAACCATATAAAGATACTCAGATTTAGTAACATATCAATAGTAGGTTGAAGCGAATCATCTAATGTCTCAAGACGAAACCAATCATCCCAAGTAAAGACATTTCCAGCAATGAAACATGCCAAAACATCATCACTACCAATCATGCCACAGGTGCCCACTATGAATAAAGCCAAGGTGATAGCGAATACGAGGAAACTTTCTCTGTCCACGAATTTCTTTTCTTCGGCCCAATGAAGTAGTTCTTTGGCTATCCAGCCAACAGTAGCTCCATAGATGACACTGAGTATGATGGTATAAGCCCATGTTTCTCCAAACCAGAGTCCAATAGCTTTAGAAGCACCTCCAGTTTGACCAGCTCCTATATTGAACGATTAGCATATATTTTGCATATAGAAGTAAAAGACAATGAAGGTAAAAATCTCACCACCAAGTCCAGTATACTTTATCAAATACAAAGCCAAAAACAGATATGGGTATCCCAGTCCATCATTCGCACCACTCTCCGCCACAATAATCTTTTGCAACTCCTTGGGAATATTCTTATCGGCAAATTTTCCCTTCACAATACTATTACTCAAAACCGGATCAGTAGGCGTAACACAAGCTCCAACGGCTAAGGCGTGCAAGAATGAAAGATTGGGAACCATTCCCCAAACCAACAATGAACTTGCAAGCCACATTACACTCATAATAGGACCTAGCAGGAGGGACAGGGCTTTCCATTCTAATTTGAGGTAGCGAGAGGGCAATTGGACACCGGCAAGGACAAGCTGGATGCCGAGAACTAGACGGCTAAAATAAAGTGTGGTGGTGTTGAGGTTCGCGACGGATCCTGTGTAATCGAGGGGTCGAACGAAGTCTGCTGCATGTGGAGACATGGCGACGCCAAAGAGAAGGGATATTACTGTTTAAACATGAATTAGCCATTGCCTGCCAGACAATCAGGGTAACGAGGAGAAGGAAAGAGACATACGTGCTTCAGAAAGATAAACTTCTCCTTGAACAAATAAGACACCAATCCAAACAAAGTAATGAAACCGCCGAGGACGGCACATACAATGTTGAAGTTAGTGGGTGGAGAGAGTAGGCATCTTGACTATTCCCTTCTTCCTCTTATCCTCTGGTCTATTGTCTTAATATATAACTCGGACTGGACTTCTAGCCTCAATTGCGATCTTGCAAGCTCCAGAATTCGAGAACCAGTGTGATGTGCCTGCGAACTGCGAGCCTGCAATTGTGCACCTTGAAGTATGCGCGTCCAATTATCCCGCGCCGGAATCGTCACTCTCACAATCCCTCTTATGAAATCTCCTCTTCAATCTCGTAGCCTCCTTGATATTTCCGGCCTGTGTTATTGAATCATTGAAACGCTCTTTTCCTTTTCCACCAAAAGATCTGGATGTGCCCGCCACTTTGTTCCGCGGGTGTGCTTAGACTATCAATCGAACTGTTTTCTTTCTCTCCGTGGGTTGTAGATATTGAAAGGATATGATGTATCAAAATTACAATATCTACAGAATATGTAAAAGCTTATAGCAAATTGTCGTGTGCTGAGATTGTTCTTCCCTGTAGTTCTAATACGCAGAAGAAAGAGTGTGGTTGATCAATGAATATGCATGTGAATACGAAATAACATTAATGGTTTATCAATTTTCCTTCACCTCCGATTGCTCCCTGC